CCAGCCTCTCTCGGGGAGTAAAGTTCCAGAGCCCAAGCTGTGCATGGAGGTGAGCCCGACTACACCTAGCCGGTACCTCTCACCCTCCTGCACAAGCTCGGGCTCCTTCCCCACCAGCGAGGTGACATTCCATGTCCCCAGGGCTAGTCTCCGTGTCCAGAGATAGGGTCATCGGGGCCCCTGCCTTTGACTGCTGCCCAATCCACTGTGCACCGGCCCCTTACGGATCCTCCTGCAGGTGGTGGGCCCACGAGAGGACGTCCCCACGTCGCTCGTTCGGGCTAAGTCCGGCCGGGCCCTGTGAGGGGAGGCCCGGCCACCAGGCGCTTGCATTTGAGCCCCAACCCCGTGCCTGGCTCCAGGGTGGGTCCCCTGTTGCGCCATACCGGGCGATGTCACAGTCCTTGATTGAATTTTATTCATAAAGGGCTTTTTGAACTGCTCTTAGTCTGACCCATCACCTAGGACCTGTTTGCCTTGAGAGACCCTACCAGGGACATATAGCCCCCGACAACATAGCTCCTAGGATCACTCGGGTACTCCTTTGAAACTAAATAAAATGCATAGTCTGTGGTCCCTTTTAAGATGCCTTGAAGATGTGAAATGCTGGATGAGCAGAAATTTTCTTCAACTAAATAAGAGTAAGACAGATCCTTATTATGAGAGCTCTATAATGTGGTAATGTGGCCAGTGCTTTTAGTCCACTGTCTTTAAATGTCTTCACACATGCAAATAAACAAACTTTGTTGCAAGTAGCAGCTTCTTTCACGTTAACAAAACAAAATTAAACAGTTTCATTTAGAGATCTGGAGACAGCTCCACACGCCTTCTTTACCTCATGTCTGGACTGTTGCTACACTTTAAATACGGGAGTCATCCATTAACTCCTCTGTTGCTAGTTCAAAATGCAACAGCAAGACTTCTGACTGGTACCAGGAAGTGAGACCGCATTTCTTCTGTACTGGCCTCTCTTCACTGGTTACCAGGTAAATATACTGTAGAGCTGATCTTAAGAGTCTTTTATTTGTTTTTAAATCACTGCACAGTTTGGCGCCAGCTTACATCTCTGATCTCCTCATCTGGCATTCATCATCCATCCTGCTCAGATCCTCTGATCAGTTACTCCTCTCTGTTTCATACTCACACTGCAGATCTAGAGGTGATAGAGCCATTTCCATTGCTCCCCCCAGACTGTGGAGCAGCTTACCCTTTAGTGTCAGATCCTCCTCATCTGTTAACACTTCTAAATCCCGACTAAAGACTCACCTTTACATAGTTGATTTTGAGTCCTCACGAGACCTTTTATTTTACTTCCATTATTAAATTTTACTGTCTCTTGTTTTAATTTGTGAATGACATTTTAATTTCTTCCTGTAAAATGCTTTGCTCAACATCTGTTGTTTGTAAGTGTGCTATATAAATACATTTGACTTTGACTTGACTTGAACACACGCAGAGTTAGTTAAAAAAAATAGTCCAATAGCTCTGATGTAATTGGTTGTGGCCAAACATGCTCCTGTGTTTGAGATCAAAATCACCCTGTCACAGTTACAATAGCTTACTTGGACACATGTTTAAACTTTAAGATAACTTTAAATAAGACCTTTAAATTGAAAGTGCATTCTAGAAAGCAGCAGTCAACAAAACAATCTCACCACAAGTCCATTTGTAGTTCTACAGTTCCATCACGCCTGGACAACTCTATCTACTGAAGGTGTTTATGAGCAGAGTTTTGTTTTTACTTAAGCCAGTTTTCAAGTATTTGATCCCTATTTACTGTATATATTTCTGCATTAGTTATTACTTTAATCATGTTAATTAGTCATTTTAAATATTTCACACACACATTGATTATATAGTGCACAATGCACTTTATATTGTGTTTGCCATTTTGTTGTGGTGTGAAAATGTTTGGTGTGTAACCTTATTTACTGTACAGCATATACTGTAGTGAATTCATAAATTTCACAGTGCAATGAAAAAGGTAGTCAACATAGCTTCTCCTGATAATCACAGAATGCAATGCTCCATGCTTTACAGATAAGAAAATTAGCAGGTGTTGGTGATGATGCAAAATGAGGCACTAAGAAGTCAGTGTCTGAAATGGCAATTTCCTTGTCACTACTGAGTGAACTATTAAGTCTACATTAGGGAGAAGTAGCTGTGTGAACTGGGGAGTGATTTTTGGACACAACCCATGTGTCTGATGGCCTGTTATTTCTCTGAACATACATGTGATCAGTCATGATCATGTGAGAGTTGTTCTCAAAGGTTGCTTTCACTTGTTCTGTAAGCAGTACTAAGAAATTAATAAATAAGTGTTAGGGCTCCCATTCAGCCAAGAAATCTTTAACTCTAATTTGATACTTTAAGTTTAATAAATATAGGTTTTAGTGAAAAAAGTACTGTACTGGATGGGACTGAAATTGAAAACACCAAACGTTTTATCTTATCTCTGCAGGTATTCACTGGAATGGCGCACAGAGTCTGATAACTGTTTTGATATTGACACTGTTGAGGGAACCATTTCTACTAACGAATACCTGGACAGGGAGACAGATGTCCAGCACAATGTCACTGTGGTGGCAACCAAAGTCAGTAAGTATTCCACAGCTTGAGCACCTTGGCATCAGACAAAGCAAGCACAAACAGTAGGCACACAGACATTTTGATACTATTTAGCAATAATCGTTTCATATATTCTGTATTGTATGTATGATTCTATATTGGTATGCCTGCCCTACATGTAATTCAAATGACATACAAGTGAAATGGTGCATGCGCCATCTGTGCTGAATTTGTATAAATACCTTTCTACCACTGGATAGATGGATAGAGGGTCATTCAGTTCATCATTCAATACCTACACTCAGTAGAAACTTTGTTAGGTACACCAAGCTAAAACTTTTGCTGTCTAATAAAAAAAATTCTAAAATAAGTTCTCTCCCTGAAGGTGATAATGTTCACTTTTATTCAAACTGTTTCAGAAAGTTGTTAATTCATTTGTGCTGCTGTTGAACTGTGCTGCATTACTTCAATAAGGAGAGATCAAATGGAAGTGAATAACAAAATGTATTGAGTTATGCAACACAGAAATTTCTGGAGTTTAGATTTCACCAATGTGAAGCATCGTCATACAATAAGGTGTATGCCCTTATGAATATCAGAAATGGGACAAGTTGCCCTGGAGTCTAGACACTGCTGCTGGTGGTGGTGGAGTAGAACCAGCAGGTGGTTGATGGAAGCCTTGGACAGTGAGCTTGGACATCATGGAGTTATGGTGCTGATGGGGAGGAGGAAGGCTGTGTAATCATACAGTAGATCTGAAAGACAAGCTATGATATTTAAAGAATGGTAGCCAGGGATTTATTGACTCAAGAAATACAGGCAGAGAAGTCATGGTGAGGTCAGGATTGAAGGTGGAGAGAGACTAACCATGTTGGGTAGCAAATCACAGAGAGAAATAAATCAGGCGTAAGTAACTCAGTGAGGAACAAGCAGAATGTGAGGGAAGGACTCTTCCTTATTGAACTTTAGCCTAAGCTTCATACAAAGAGATGTTGCTGTTATTTAGTGATGCCACCGCTCCAGTTCCTGCATCCCGGTGGGTCAAGAATGACACTACTACTCCAGTCACTGCTTTGGCCTGGGTCAACACCACCTCAACTGAAGTCCTTGAGGTGGTCCCAGCCTCACCAGTTCTCCAACCTGATGTCCAGTCCCCTGTTCATTGTAAGATGGCACCGACAACTATGGCTACCTTGGATACTCGTGCTCTCTTGTGTGCGCTGTTTTTCTTTGTTTCCTTGGTCTTTCGCAAACCATCCTGGATTAATTTCACCAGAGAAGAATTGCTAAACATCAGAGAACCCACACCAAAGTACCTTTCTCCAATTTTTGTGAATAAGGAATGATGTGTGGACAGTCTGATCGGAGGCGCAGCTGCAATCTACGAGATCTGGAAAAAACGCCATCATGGGAAGGGGGCAGCAGCACTGGTCAGGCTACGCCAGAGAGGGACCCGGACTCCGCACCCGTCTATCCACCTGGTCAATGTTCACTCCCTAGCCAACAAGCGGCCGTTCCCACCAACAATTACCACCCTTCCACCGAGCCCCCCACCTCTAACGATTTGTGAAAAGAATGCGCGTGGCCTCTTTTAAAAAACAAAAGATCAGAATCAGAATCTGATTTATTGGCCAGGTGTGTTGGACACACGAGGAATTTGACTCTGGTACATCAGCTCTCAATGTGCATGTACATATCCCCATGCAAGGGGCAAGTAAACAGTAAACCAGCATAAGGCTGTGTAATATAACAAAATAATAAGCAGTATTAACAAGCAAGAAACAGTGCAAACGATGCAAAATAAGTGGTATAAACAGGTAGTAAACAATGCAGACAAAGGAATGCTCTTAGAAATGAGATAATAGGAATAAAAGGAATAAAAATAGAGACCTGGGCAAGGGGCAAGTAAACAGTAAAACAGCATAAGCACAGATGCCCCCCAGGGATGTGTGCTCTACCCTCTGCTGTTTTCACTCTACACCAATGACTCCATCTTGAAGGACCCCTCTGTCAGGCTCCTGAAGTTTGCTGATGACACCATGGTCACTGGTCTCATCAAGACAGCAACGAGTCAGCCTACAGATGGGAGGTTGAGCCCCTCACACCCTGGACACAGTCTGTTAGAACTCCTCCCCTCTGGACGGCACTACAGGCCACTGTACACCAAGACAACCAGGCACAGGGACAGTTTCTTCCCCCAGGCTGTCACTCTGATAACCTGCAACAGTATGACTGGACAATAACCCTCAGTGCAATACCTGTAAATATACTTTGTATATATCGAGCAGTTGAATCCGGACTGTGTATATAGTACTTTATTTTTACTCCTAAGGCACATTCCTTTGCTTGATTGCACATTAATTCTTTACTTCTGTTCTCAGCCTTATATTGTTTACTTCCCTCTGTTGCCTTGCATAAGGCCATGTACCTATACATTTAGAGCCGCTGTACCAGAGTCAAATTCCTTGTGTGTCCAACACACCTGGCCAATAAAGCTGATTCTGATTCTGATTCTGCAGACAGATTTCAACTTAGACCCCATGTAATGGCTGCTCCTTTTTCCCTCTCTCTCTCCCCTGGTGACCTGAGTTGTGGCAGGTGTGTGGTGGTTAGGTGCAGGCACAGCAGTGACAACTTTCCTGATCATCTTCCTTGCTACTTAACCGTCAGTCATACGCTCTTCTGTTATCAGATTGGTTCTGCAGATTCTGCTGTAACTTTGTGGCTGCTTACCTGCTTGTTCTTGGAAAGATCACCCTGCTCTACTATGGCCCCACTCTGTTCATCTCCCAGCGAGACATAGTCATCTCAAGTACACTGTCATTCTCCATAGTCCTCTTCTACTTACCTACCTGATCCCGTGGTCTTGGCCAGCTTCCAGCTTGGTTGTCAACCACCCGGTGGCTCCTCTGGCTCAATCGCTCTCTTACCCTGCCTGTCGCTGAGTGAGTCCTCTCTGCAGTGCCTCGGGTCCCTCTCTTCCACATGACCTCCCTCACCATGCCTGGCCTTTTCACCTTCCCAGCTTCACTGTTCAAACTGCCTGGCCAGAGCCTGCCAACCTCAGTTCAGGTTCTCAACCCACTCCCAGTAGCTAAGTTGCTTCTCAGCCTTTGTCTATTTCTTAAGACCTGTTCCCACATACAAATAAAGTTCTGTTTTCTGTTGTCCAGTGTTTGAGTCCCTCTGTGTAGTATACTGGGTTTACAGGACTGAGTTGTCCTTACACTCCTGCCTATCCTATCAAGAGGCCCTGTTTCCAATGCCGGCCTCCTGCTTGTCCTCCCCAGGGGTCTCGCCTTTGCTGTTGTTCTCCTGACTTTTCTCCAATAGGATTCAGTCTGTGCTGTTTGCTAGCTTCTGACTCTGGTTCAGCCCCTGGGCTGTTCCTCTAAATAGTCTCAGCTTCCTGCCTGGCTCCAAGGTTGTTTCCCTGAGCAGCCTTAGCTTTCTGCTAGGCACCAAGGATTTTATGTCTTATTTAGTTTAGGGAAAAAAACTGTGCTAGTGTACCACAATGTACATGCCTACAGAACATATTATGACTATGTTCAGATCGCAGCCAACAATCCGAAAGGTTTTGAATTATGTATATTTAATTTCACAAATAACAAAACTGACTTTACACATTCCTTGCAGCTTTTGGGACATAGTATAATTTGCAGTTCACTCCTTCTCAGAGTATAGAGGAGCACTTCCTTGTTAAAAGGAACCACAAATAGAGCCCATCAGCTTTTCTTGAGCTGAGATGGGTTGTGGTTGTTGACATGGCGTCCAGCTACTTCTGTCAAATCTCCTGGAGTTCATATCACAGTGTGGAATGTGTTTTATAGTAAATGGGCTAAAAATCCACTCTTTTAATGCTTTGAAGTCAAGTGAATATACTTTCAGTTTTTGCACTGTATAACTTTGAATAAAACATTTCTTAGATAAATGATTAAAACATAAAATATAAAACCAAACCACTGCTAAAACTATCATTCTTGAAGGAAACTAGATCTATTTCTAGCTACATATGGCTATGCCTCTCTCTCCCCCACTCTTCTGCCCATTTGCTCATAGTGCAGCTGCAGCTGTAGTAATTGTGGTGGAAACTAAATTTAGCAAAAATGAGCAAGCAGCTTAACTCATCTACACTGTTTGTGTACCATATGATTTCCCCCTATAAGCTTCTTGAGAAGCCAAAGGGCTGCAGAGTCACAAATAGTCCAGCAGTCCTCATTAAATAGGACAACAATATAAATCCTCCAGCTCAGTTCCCATCAGTTCTAGAGTTAAAAACAAGATTGTGTAAGTTAGACAACAGGACAATAACCTTCGATCATCTCCAAAATGATCGGCGCGCATTCGCTGCCAGGTGTTTCTGGTAGGTTTAAAAGCACACATGCAGCTGGGGCTCCTGTAAACATTTGATGAGTAACTTACTCCATCTACTGGCCAGAACTGATGTGACATCCTGGAGAGATCTAGTAACTGTAATTGTTTCTGACTTTTGTATTTTATAGTGAAGGTGAATGATATTTGAACATACTGTATGTTGGACACATTTGAAACCAGTAGAAGTAAAATTCTTTGAAATTTCAAACCATGTAAGCTACCTCTATGATCTTACTAAAATATATAACTTAAACCATGCATCATATTATTTGTGTGTATTATATTTGTCTTTTGTTAAATCTGAAGCTTATATTTTTTGCAGTTAGGACAGGTTAGGCAGAATATTGTACTGTTAATAGCAAAGTTGTGAGTTCAAGTACAACTGAACTATTTATGTGCAACTGGCCATATACTGTACAGTAAAAGCTGAAAAGATTCAATTTTAATATTTTAAAAGCTGGATCAGTACATCCTTAGTGTTTGGAATCTTAGGGGTTTTGTTCTGTGCAATTTTGCTAAAGCATTCTTTGCCTTTGAAGTCCAGAACAAGGTAACAAATACATTATGATTATCAGGTGACAGGGAGGCAATGCATGGACTAAAACATGTGAAGGCTACAGCATGGAGTCAGCACTTAACACAACATGGAGAAATACAGCTAAAACATGCCCATATGACCAAATGTTTGCTTATAATACTACCAAGAAATCAAAAATATGGATGTGTCAAATTATGAACATGTATCATGGCATCTTTTCAGAGTGGAATTCTCAAAGATTAAGCAGGAGTGAAATATCAGTGTATAAATGAAGAGTTACAAGTCAAAGTCTTGCATTTAAAGGTTTATGAATATGTATCATTAGCAAAATGTATTTTAAAAAGTACTCATTATTCTGTCAGAATGTCTGTTATATATTTTCTATGTAAGCACATGTTGATGTTGTTGCTGACTGAAGTAGAGCAAATTTTTATGGAACTAAAATTAATTTTTGCTGCACCTTACATACAGTATGTGCTCTTTAAATCACTTGTCTGGTGTTGTCCTTTGGGAAGACATCAGAGACCATAAGACACCCTTTGGTTTTGTATCACTTTCATGCCCCATTTTGTCTTCATAGTAGTGTCAACACTGTCATGGCAGAAGGAAAGAGCGGAAAGTCATGCTGAGCCAGAAAGCAGCCTGCAAAACAACGAGAGCCACAGACCATGAAAAAAACCCACAGTAGTTTTTCTACTGAAGTGTCTTTCCTATCTAACATACAAACATTACCACATGGTTTGTCCTGTCCCTTAGCTTGTCAAAGAACTGCCAAACAAACATTCAATGGGGAAAAATACACTTACCAAGCTACTTTGATAATTATTTGCTCATTAAACAGCATGTACACCTGTTAATTCCACTCTTCACTATCACTACAAAGCTCTCTGGCTGCCTGCCAGCTGCTGTCAATCAAACACAGTCACTGAGACATCTCCACTGTTGTTCCAGAGACCTTTCTCCTTCAGCTTTAATATCTTTAATGAAGAAAATAACTATTTATTAAGGGGTAAATATATATATATACATACATATACTGTATATAAGGAAAGTCCTGAGAAGCCAGCTGAATGGGAAGAACAAAGTCTGGGCGATTAACACCTACGCCCTGCCGGTCATCAGGTACCCTGCTGGCATAATAGAGGCCACTGACATCAAGACAAGGAAGCTCCTTACAATGCACGGCGGGTTTCACCCCAAGTTTGGGGACAGTGCCTCTGGACTGGCAGACCGGGGTCCCTCTTTTTAAGAAGGGGGACCAGAGAGTGTGTTCCAACTATAGAGGGAATCACACTTCTTAGCCTCCCCAGGAAAGTCTATGCTAGGGTACTGGAGAGGAGAATCCGGCCGATAGTCAAACTTCAGATTCAGGAGGAACAGTACAGTTTTCACCCCAGCCATGGAACACTGGACCAGCTCTATACCCTCACCAGGCTGCTGGAGGGTTCATGGGAGTTTGCCCAACCAGTCTACATGTGTTTTGTGGATCTGGAGAAGGCATTGGACCGTGTCCTCTGTGGCATCCTGTGGGAGGTACTTCAGGATTATGGGGTGTGGGGCTTGTTGTTACGGGCTGTCTGTTTCCTGTATGACCGGAGTAGGAGCTTGGTTTGCATCACCAGCAATAAGTCAGACCTGTTTCCGGTGCACGGTGGACTCCGCCAAGGCTGCCCTTTGTCACCGATTCTGTTCATTATTTTTATGGACAGAATTTCTAGGCACAGCCAGGGAACGGAGGGTGTCTGTTTTGGTGGCTGCAGAATCTCATCACTGCTTTTTTGTGGATGATGTGGTTCTGTTGGCTTCATCAGTTTAAGACCTATTGCATGCACTGGAGGGGTTTGCAGCTGAGTGTGAAGCAGCGGGGATGAGAATTAGCACCTCTAAATCCGAGGCCATGGTTCTCTATCGGAAAAAGGTGGATTTCCCTACCCGGGTTGGGGGCGAGTTGCTCCCTCAAGTGGAGGAGTTTAAGTACCCCCAGGTCTTTTTCATGAGTGAGGGAAAAGTGGAGCAGCAGGTTGACAGACGAATTGGTGGGGCGTCCGCACTAATGTGGTCTCTGTACTGGTCCATGTGTTGAAAACAGAGCAGAGTTGTAAGATGAAGCTCTCAATTTACCGGTTGATCTACATTCCTAACCTCACCTATGACCATGAACTTCGGATCATGACCAAAAGAATGAGATCGCGGATACAAGTGGCAGAAATGAGATTCCTCTGGAAAGTGGCTGGGCACACCCTTAGGGATAGGGTGTGGAGCTCAGAGTAGAGCCGCTGCTCCTCAACATTGAGCAAATCCAGTTGAGGTGGCTCGGGCACCTGTTTAGCATGTCCCCTGGATGCCTCCATGGGGAGGTATTCCGGGCATGTCCCTACGGGAAAAGGCCTAGGGGCAGACCTAGGACATGTTGGAGAGACTATGTCTCCCAGCTGGCCTGGGAACGTCTTGGGGTTCCTCCTGAGGAGCTAGAGGAGGTGTGTGGGGAAAGGGGAGGCTCTTCTCGGACTACTGCCCCCACGACCCGGTCTTGGATAAAGAGGATGAAGTTGGATGGATGGATATATTTGTGTGTGTGTGTGTGCGTGTGCGTGTATTAGAACTCACAGGATTTTTACTCAGCTACAGTGGCTCTCAATGTACTTTTGTAGGTAACAAGAAAGAAATGTGCATTCAAATAGGAAGGAAAAAAGAAACAGGGTAGAGAAGACAGAGACAAAGACAGTCAAAAAACAAAACAAGCATTAAGAAAAAAAAATAAACATAAATCACACCCACAAAAACCTCATAAAGTAGAACAGTTGAGTTTATAACTGTTACTACATAATAATAATAAATAAACGTAAAAAATACCCATGGATATTTTCTCACAATTTTAAATATTTAATGTTTGAAACATTCAAAACTTTTCAGGGATAGAATGTATAGCTGTAAACTTTGGTCAGCTTTTGTCAGTGTTCTTCCAGTTTTGATGTTTCACTATAGCCGTCATTTCTGCCAAGGTCTCCCTGATAGTCTATCAGTATGTTAGATGAATACAACTGGCTGTGTTACTAAGTATGTAGTGTCATATATGACTTCATGTTGACCCTTACAGGCAACCCTCTGCTGGTCACCAAAGTGTCAGTGACAGTCAACGTCCTGGATGTAAATGAGTTCCCTCCTGAGCTGGTGGCTCCTTCAGATAACTTTGTCTGTGAAAACTCCAGGGTTGGACAGGTAAACTGAATTGTATTGCTTAAACTCCTTGATAGGATCTGCTGATCTGCTGATCGGATATTTAAAAAAATCCAAACGTGAAACATATCTTAAACATACATCCATCGATTATCTACAGCTTTGTCCTGGGTCAGGTGGTCGGGGCGGCAGGCTCTGCTGGGCAGTCCAGCTGTCCCTCTCCCCAGCAATGCCAGCAATGCTTTTCAGGTTAAACTGGAGGACCCCAAGGCATTCTCAGGCTAGATGACATACAGTTATAATCCTCTCAGCTTGTTCTGGGTTTGCCATTGGGCCTGCTGCCAGTTGGACCTGTATGGAATACTTCCAATGGGAAGTGCACAGAAGGAACCCTAATTAAATGCTTGAACCACCTTCTTTTGGTGCGAAGGAGCAGTGACTCTATTCAGAACTCCCTCTGGATGTCCAAAGTCCTCAAACTATGTCAGAAGGCTGAGTCCAGCCACCCCATGGAAAAAATTTATTTCAGCTGCTTGCATTCAGAATCTCACTCTTTCAGTCAGTGTTCATAAGTCATAACCATAGGTGAGGGTTGGTACACAGATTGATTGGAAAATTAAAAGCTTTACTTTCTGACACCACTCCCTCTTCACCACAACAGTCCAGTACAGTGCCGACATTACTACTGACGCTGCACCAATTGGCCTGTCAATCTTGTGCTCCATTTTACCCTCACTTGTGAGCAAGACTCAGAGATACCTAAACTCCTTCACTTGCAGCATCAATATATGCCCAGCCTAGAGAGAGCAATCCACTTTTCTGGGAGGGGACCATGACCCCAGATTTGGAGGTGCTGATTTTCATCACAGCTGCATCATAATCAGCTCCAAACTGCTCCAGTGCATGCTGAAGGTCAGTGTCTGATGAATCCAACAGAAACACATCATCTGCAAAAAACATAGAAGGAATTCTGAGGTCCCCAAACCATACACATTTCTCTCCTCAACTGCAACTTGAGACCCACGCCGAGAAGATCACAAAGAGATTCAGAAACAGGGGACATCTCTGGCTGAGGCCTACACCCACTGTGAACATGCTTGATGTTTTGCATAGAATAAAGACATAGTCCACAGACATCGTCCTTCATGTGACATTGAAGAGACATGTCAGTCAGGACAGCCTAACATTGTCCATAGCCTTTGGGTCAAGAACAGCTTTCCCTTTCTGAGATGTCAGATGGTTTGCCAGAACTTCCTTGAAGCCACCTCAAAATTTCTTATCCATAGCCTCTCCAAACTCCTCCTACAACCAGCTGCAGCCCTCATGGCCAACCGTGTTCAGAAAGTCTCCTTCTTTAGCCTGACAGTCTCCTTCAATGCAAGTGTCCACCATCAGGTTCTCAGGTTGCCACCATGAAAGACACCCATGACATTTTGACCATAGTTCTGTGTAGCTGTGTCCACAATGGAGGCTTTGAACATCTGTTAAACTTTTGTCTTGCATAATTACGGTACCATTATTACAAAAACATACCGTACATTCCGGACTATAAGCCACTACTTTTGTTGCTTCATGAACATAGAAAACACATGACAAAATGCATATGATGCAGCTTTCAAGTTACAGGCGTATTTCACAAGCTGCCAACTTTTCTCTCGGGCTCCTGGAGTCATTGTGCTAAGTCTATCTCTTTTACCTCCCTGACCAGGTAATCCAGATAGTCAGTGCTGTGGACAAGGACCTTCCTACTGTTGGCCAGAGGTTCTTCTTTAAGTCCCCCAAAGAGCTCCGCAACAGGAACTTCACAGTTCGAGATTTTGGAAGTAAGTAAAGGGGGGAATGGGTGGCACAGTGGTGCACTAGTTAGCACTGTCACCTCACAGCAAGAATGTTCTGGGTTCAAGCCTGGAACTTTCTTGCTGTGTGGAGTTTGCATGTTGTCTCTCCAGGTACTCCAGCTTCTTCCCACAGTCCAAAGACACATAGCTTAGGTTGATTGGTGACTCTAAATTGCCCCTAGGACTAAGTGTGAGTGTGTGTAGTTATTTGTCTACATGTCAGTCCTGTGAAAGACTGATGACCTGTCCAGGGTGGACCCTGCTTCACACCCTGCAATAACTGATATCTTCGTGTTCCTTGTAGAGCATGTTTCTATTGCTCAACAGTTTTATGTTCAGTAATACACTTGACCTGTGTCACTAAGTCAGATCATCAGGGTAAAACGGGTAGAAGTTTGTATTGCAACATCCAGGTACTCATCTGATTGCTGCAACAGTTTTTGCTTGATGGAATAATTCCTCTTATCATACTGGCCACTGAAAAATCTTTCTTGAAGTGCATATCATGTAAGTGGTGAGGGACAAAACCACAGTCATCCCCCTATGCAAAAATATATTTCAAAGTTCATCTGAGGCTTCAGCTATCTGAGTATAGATAAATAAATAAATAAATAAATAGTTCCTGTTTTGTGTTTTGAGTATGGAATTCTCAGATTTCTTATGGTCATTCCACTGCAGTTCACCAGTGAGTATAAATGATATCCTAATAATTTTGTGTACCTGCTGTCAATGGAGTGTTACATTTTTGAGGTTGCATGCAAGTGCTGCTGTGCAGCCTATGGAGTGATCTTGGAGCGTACACATGTAGACACAGTAGGTGTGGTGTTATCTCATAGCACAACAAGTTGCATAGGTTGACATTGTTTTTAAAATGTAGTTAAACTCTTTCAAACAAGGGGGAAAAAACAATAATGAACCTTCTTAATATGGAGTCACACGTGTGTGATCCCACGGGGAATGACCTAAAATGCTACATAGATTTTAAAGATTTCTTTCAGTGTATGCTTATTTCAACCATGTTGCTAGACAAGAATGTCATGATTGTGCAAATCCCCAGATTACATTCAGTGAGTGGTTTTTAACATTCAGCTCCAGTTGTATTAACTCGAGGCCTTTATTGCATCTCTCTGCCCTCCTAAAAGACACTGAAAAACTAACATGAACTGTTGGATTGTGAAAGGACATGAAAATGCTACATAGTGAACTCCCACCTGTCTACTTAGAGGATATGCAGCATCCTGCATTCACACTGAATACATAAAACATACAGTGTGGAAATGTCCTTTAAATGTCACGGAATACATTTTTATGTTATGGCCATTCCACTGTACTTTAATTTCTCCTATTTTTTTCTTGTATTCCTTTTCCATTTATTTCTAAATTGGAAAGTCAGACGCCATTTATATGGCAGTCCTTAACTGTCAGTGCTAACCGCAGACAGATGTGTACCACACTTGTGGTATACCATTTTCTTACCTACCAGCGATGTGTTTCACTGGTTAGACAGTGAGTGTGTTTGAGTCGCACCCAAACAGTAGGAGGTTCTCGTACTGCAGCAAAGACTACAACTTTTGCCAGGGTCCCACTCTTGGGCATAGCTAATTATGTTAGCTGAAATGCACAAATAAGCTTTTCCTTATGTTTTTTTGTGCTGAAACAAAAAGAAAAATATGCTAATTAAAAATTGTTTTAATTGTTTCATTCCCTTCTCTGCTGGATGAAGAATGTGTCTTTTGCCACTGAAGAGTTGTGGGAAGATCAGCTTTAAGAATTCCATCTCCTGGTTCTATCTTTATAGCCTCAGATCACATCATCAGTCATACACACAGGCCTGCAGCCACCAAGAGGAATTGCATTTCTGTCTGTGTGTGTGTGTGTAACGGCAACAAGGTGCCTTACTTTGACAAGCTACATCTCAATCCAGTGGGGGGAAGGGGGGATCTTTTCTGACACACACAGACACACATCATGCTAAAACTGTGTCTAAATTTGTATTCTGGAAGAGAATAAACAGTGTGTCTGTTAAGGTTTGGTCCCTCACCAGGGGGGCGAGAGAGTAAAAATGAGGACTCAATGTGCAAGCTCGGGTGCTAGCAAAGTAGTATCTTTATTACAAATAACAATAAAGTGATAAACAGATAAGTCAACGGATTAATGCATGGTCCAAACCAGAGCTGAGCAATGAAGATGAAGACGAAGACCAGGACTGGCAGGCAAGTATGTAGGTGAATAGTAGGCACCAGGAAGACAGGTGGGTAGACAGGCGGGACACAGCAACCAGGAGGAGCAGTCGACCAGGTGGCAAGCTGGGTAACACTCACCGCCAGGCACACAGAATAGCACTTGCCAAAAAACACACACCCAAAGCAGCACTCACCGTTCAACGTGCACTGTGCGGTTGTTATCGTTACTGTGCTCAGCGTTCAATGTTCAGTATACAGCGGTCCCTCACCAGGGGGGCGAGAGAGTAAAAATGAGGACTCAATGTGCAAGCTCGGGTGCTAGCAAAGTAGTATCTTTATTACAAATAACAATAAAGTGATAAACAGATAAGTCAACGGATTAATGCATGGTCCAAACCAGAGCTGAGCAATGAAGATGAAGACGAAGACCAGGACTGGCAGGCAAGTATGTAGGTGAATAGTAGGCACCAGGAAGACAGGTGGGTAGACAGGCGGGACACAGCAACCAGGAGGAGCAGTCGACCAGGTGGCAAGCTGGGTAACACTCACCGCCAGGCACACAGAATAGCACTTGCCAAAAAACACACACCCAAAGCAGCACTCACCGTTCAACGTGCACTGTGCGGTTGTTATCGTTACTGTGCTCAGCGTTCAATGTTCAGTATACAGCGTACAATGATCTGGCCCCGCAGGGGTGTCTGCCAGGGCTTTAAGTAGGGAAGAGTCATGATGGAGACGAGCTGCAGCTGCGCACCACACCCAGTGAGCCAGTAATCAGGTGAATGCGCTGACCCCCTAAAACAAGAGCAGGAGAGAGAAAAGAAAAGAGAGGTAGGCAGCGCCGAGCAGACGTGACAGTGTCTTTTCAAACTGTGTTTTCTATATAAACTGCACATCTTTTTGCTCTACTGTGAAATGTTAAAAGCATCACACATGCTCCTGTGTGTTATGTGACAATAAGAAGCCATAGAAGTTTTTTATATCACAGGATGATTTAAAGCAGCTCCATAACTGGTTTTTAATTGTCTGCTGTAAAACTGTTATTGTTTCCATTTAAACAAAAAGCTCATGCTTGTCAGAGGGGATTGCACATACATTGTTCCTGTAATAAAAGAGCAATTTTGTTGTTGTCTACAGCTCATAAAGCCTTTCCAGATGTGCTAAAAGAGGATTCTCCCATAGCACGTTGCTTGATATCTTGGATTTTAGATGAAAACAAATTTTTTCAGTGATGTGGGCAGCAATTTAAAGGCTTAAATAAGGGTTGTTTAATTTGATTGTTGACTGCTCTGTTTTCTTTTGTCAGTCTCTGTTGTGGCAATGTCATGAGAATCCCATTTTCTCAAAGGCAGTACAAATGATTGCAGAAAGAACAGGAGTAAGAGATTTTCTTTGACAACTGACAGTTACTTGTAATTTGCTAGTGATTTCAAACAAAATCCTGAGTCTGAGTATCTGTAATGTTAAACAAGTACTTCTAGCTACACTTCTTTCAGTAAGCACTTTCTGAGTGCAGGTCTTATCATCTGAGCAACCTCCTTCAGCCTACGGGGAAAGAATTCGTTTGAGGAGATACAGAACACAGCGAAACCATATTGTTCAAAGTAAGCATGTTAGAGATTAGGGATGCAGTAACCTTCAGCTCTGACTCACTTTTAAACACAAAAATATTTCTACAAAAAAAAAACTATGCAGCTTACAACCATGTCTTCTTGACATTTTCATATTACTAAACTGTTATAGTATGTTGTTATGAAAAATCTAATTATATGAGAATATATTTGCTGAAAGGATTATGGCAGTTGTTTTTTTTTATGTGAACAAAGCACTACACTACATTGATATGGAATGGTGGGCATGCACAGTGCAGGGCTCCCCAGGGTCCCATCTGGGGTTAGATTATGCACCAAAAGCACTTTGGTTACAGTTTGGGACAGACTGTGGTTTTACTTAAATGTTAATAAACACTGCTTCTAAAGGTTTGGGTAGAAAAGGTTTGACAAGTTTGCTGGTATTTGAAACAACATAGATTTTTGAGACCATCCTCTCAACAAGAACGGCATAATCATTTCAGCAAATTTCCCCAAAGTGATGTAAGTCTAAGTGACAAAAGCCTCTTTCTGCTGTTTTGCCATAGACCATCATTATAAATGGACACCTCCAAATGCAAACTAAGGTCAATTATTATTCTCTGACTCAATCTCCTTCATAATCTGTTACTGTAGTATTGGCTTTAAAGGATAAATCTGGTGATTATTGTCAACAAATTCCATATGCAGAGCCAAACCAGCAATGAATATGTCCTACTAACAGGTATTACATGTGTATTAAAAGTCTGATATATGTTATTTCCCTGTGCCATAGTATCTATTTATAGTCACCCACACTGTTGCACTGGGTGACATGTTCCTTCATTACCATGAACAACTACACTGCAGACACTTCAGCCAGGCATGTAAAACATATGGAATTGCACAAGCCCTACGCTCCAAGGTGAACATTTCATCTAAGCTTGTGCTCAGTGTATTCAGCATTCTATGCATATCATTTTTGGGTGATATCTTTGAGGTGATGTTACATCATCTTCTGTTGGTTTCCAGACAACACTGCTGGTATTGTGACTCGACATTCGGGCTTCCATTTCAGGATGTCTATACTCTTCCTGTTGTGGTCGAAGACAGCGGTTACCCTGCTCAGAGTAGCACGGCCACCCTCACTGTCCGAGTGTGCTCCTGTGGGACCGAAGGCTCGCTGCTCAGCTGCTCAGCTGAGGCCATTTTCTTGCCTATGGGCCTCAGCACTGGAGCTCTTATGGCTATTCTTCTGTGTGTAGCTCTGTTAATAGGTAAGCTCCCTTTACCTTTACCATAGCACTGTTATGTCATAAAAGATTTATTAATTTTTCAAGCAGTTTTAACTGTTTGTCTGTGGTGCATCCCTGCACTATTTCTAGAGACGTTGCTTCATGTCATATGAGAGAGACCAATGACCTCCACCAGATGATTATTTAGGTTGGAGCATTTGATGCTACTAACTGCATGTTAGCTGTGAACAAGATGTGCCAAACTTGTCTGTGGGAATGGGTCAAAGTGTTTGTGTTTAGCTCACAAACCAATCTCAGGACTCACCAGAAACTGCTTCATCTGGTAGAGAAACAAAACAGAGACATAAAACTCCTGGATAATAATACTAATACTAATACTAATAATACCACTACTACTAATAATAATAATGATTTAAATATGTACCTTTAGTTAAGATCAAAATTAAGTTACTTTTTGTCCACAAAAAATTGGGAATGTGTGTATATAATGGCTAATATCCCCACAAAGTTAATCTGATGTTCAAGTAAATACCTTAAAATAAAGATGCCAGTCAGCAGTTTAACCAGACAACACTTAATTAAATGTGTTTATTGCACCGTGGTTGTATATTATTGCATCCCAAGAATTTAAACAGTGCCTTATTAGTGTGGTTTGCGCTAAAAAAATCTGTTAGGAATTATGTGTCAAGTAACAGCAACCATGGTATAACATGTTTCTTTTCCGGTTTGATGACAATTATTATATCCAGATAATACTGTATGTTCAAGTGTGTTAAAATTGATGTTCTTGTTCTGGCTCAGGCTTTCATTGTTAAGGGATTTAATTTAACACTAGAGGGCACCATCAGCCTTTGATTGTTGCTCAGAGTGGCTGTTTCCTCATTAATTCTCATTTCAGTGCTGCTTCCGTTACAGAGTTATAGTCATAAGCACCAGTTCAACCACACTGAAAACAAACAGGGCCACATGTAAACAGCTCTCACTGTGTGGCTGAATGTGTGTGCACATATACTGTATTTGTCTTATGACATACTGTATGTGTACATGCATGTTACATCACACATAGAACAGAAACTACCAGCCTGAAAACAGTTTTTTTCTGCCCTCACAACTATTCACCCCAATAATGAGACAAGAATGTAGTTTTCTGCCTCACTGCATTTGTATGTGTACATGGCTTTTTTTATATTTAAGTTTCTTCCAAGCATGTAAAACTAAGAAAATTGATGTTGTGAAAAACAAAATTGATTTGACATTTCAACCAATATGCACAAGACATCACAACATTCCAATAGTACATGCTTGAAAGGGAGTAGGAAGAAGTATACACTTATCTAGTCCTACCCCTTTTCTTAGACCTTAGGCTTTAAATCATTGTGTGGACAATTTTTTATTTGATACCATCATTGTGAGGACATTTTGGCTGGTCCTCATAATTTCAAAAGTTTTTTTGACAGTTAGGATTTGGGTTAAGGTTAGAATTGGTTGTAGGTTAGGCTAGAGGTTGGGGGTAGACATTTAAGCTATGTAACATTATAGGCCTTAATGCTCAGTTCTGATTTTCTTTTTTCAGATCTGATCTTTTAATTGTACATAACTCAGTCTTTAGTGCAGTGGTCATATCACACTGTTTCTTCAAGCACTGCTCAGTTACGTTCCTGCTAGCTTGACTTGAACAGAAGCTTCTCCAAAAATGTTCAGCACATTTGAAACTGTCTTCCACTGACCCCTCATTGCTGCTGTTGCTCTCCCCATGTTTATTTCGATCGGTCTGTGAGGTGCTGACATTGAATGATGATGACAGGTGATTTGTGCAGAGGAGTGAGAGCTTTTAAAAAAGCACATGGTTTGGTCTATTCACACATCAGTAAAAAGATTACGTCTGAGTCATTTACAGGAAAAAAATCAGATGTGGGCTAATGTGAACATAGCCTTAGCTGTGATGGTTAAGGTTAGAGTGAGGGGCTGGGGAATGAATGTCCTCACTACTATAGAAACAACAACAGGGTCACAGCTGTAGAGAAGGACAACAGCTGCTAACGCATAAAATCCACTTTACTCTCATAGCTCGCAGTGATAGACATTTCCTCATGTGTGTCGTGGTAACAGTATAGCACTCTACTAAAGAGGAAAGAAGGCGTGAATTAATCTTGGCATGGTGTTAATTATGTTCTGCAGTTTTAACATGGCATATCTAAAAACAGAAGGCTTTATCAAAGAAGGATCCCTGGAAAAGATACAAGGAAACACTGCCACTGTGTGTGCTAGTAAATAACAGAACAATAGAAGAGATTTTAAAAAGCACTGTGTCCTCCTTTGGGAATGGTCTATGGCTTTGGCATCTCCTGTTGTTTTGTTTACTTTCTGCTAGCTTTTGTTACTTACAGGGCAAAAACACAACAGCAGTCAGTGGGCTGGATAAAAATATATATACCACCCTGTGGATTACTGTTCAAGTTATTGATCAATGTAGAATCAATAATGATAAATTCATCACAATCCCTTAGAGCACAAACTAATGTCAGCAATAGCTTCTTTGTCTGACCAACAGTTCACAACTCAAACATATTCAGATTACAGTGTGATCTAAAAGAACAACAAATGGCTGGCATTTCTATTTGTTATTGAGCAAAATAGGAAAAAAACATTTGTCAAAGTGTTGTCACTTTATTTTCTATCAGCTGATTAATCTATTCAACTTGTGTCAGCACTAGACCAAAGCTGTGACATGATTATTGTCTCCAAATTATGAAGTGCTGTACACAAGTAAAAAAAATGTACAATAGGATAGACACAACAGGAAGAATAACATAAAATAAACTTTGACAAAAATGACAGAAAATAACTGGAAATCATCTTCTAGGCAAGGTCTTTAAAACATGACTGACTCCCAAGGCAGAAAGCTGAAGTACAGCAGCTCTGAGCATAAAAGCTGGTTATGTCACCTTTGGTTCTCTGTCAGGATTTTGGCAAAGCTAGAAAGGTGATCTCTCAGAATCTCAGGCTATACAAGTTTATACATTCCCAAAAGGTCTTAGAACTTTGGGGCCAAACTGACCTTCAAGGACTAAATGCATGGCATTACAACCAGTCCTAAAGTTATCAGGAGGCATACCTATGTTCTAGTACTTCTGTGCAGAAGTTTGTATTAATTTCATCCTATTGTAAAACAAAGTAGTGACATGATACAACAAACAGAATATTGCCCCAGACATTTAAAGAAATTAATGGAACTTAAAAATAAAGATACAGGTTGTATTGATAGGTGTCATTTTAGTATAGTGTTTATTAATTTTAAAAAACCATAATGCTTTGTAAAATAATGGAATTTCAAAAAAACTATAAATGATGATAAAAATGTTATTGCAATTTAAATCATAATATTATACAACTGTTGAAGAAATTTAAATAATGAGTTATTTCACACAAACATGTCAACACTCAAATGCGCTTAAGTGTTCTCCTGAGTGTGCGCAAATTCTGTTTTTACTGAAGAACAAAGCTTAGATAAGAAAACACTGGCGAATGTCAGAAACTGCACATATAAGTTTTAAGGAGAAATTTGTTCTTGAGAACAGTTGATGAATGAGCCCATTGTTCCTTGTAGAATCCATCGCTGGCTAGTTTTACTATGAGAGAAGAACCAAGCTGCATGCCAAGCAAGAAAGTAGAATGCACAGTATTTCAAGCTCTGCTGAGGATTTACTTCTCTTAGAAGACAGCAGTTTTTGTTTTCTTAGTTCTCAAATAGGACTGCAGTGTATTCCAGTCAGCGGTGATGGCATTAGCCAGGCAGATGAGGCCTCAAGGGGCAGTTAAAACTCATTGATTGTCTGGTTAAAGCAGCTGACTTTGTTTTTCTGCTCCTATTGATTATATAGCAGCACACAGGACACACAGTGGACAAATAAATTGTTTAATAAAAACAGAAGAGAGGGTGAGTGAGTGAGCAAATTTTAAAGTTAAGTAATAAAGCAGGACAAAAAAAGAACAGAGAGCTAATATACAGAATAATTTCAACACCCCGTGTGGTCTTGAAAAGACATTTTAAATGATTCTAAAGGTATAGCTTTCTGTTTCTATGGAAATCTAGTGAGGATTACTGCAGGCAAGGTGTCACCGCCGGCATTGTGTCTGCTACGGCAGAACTGCAAAGGGAGAGGGGCTGCTGGTGTTTTGCACCACATTATATTCCCATTTTAAACTTTTTCTCCTGTAATGATATACTCAGTATTACTTCATATAAAACCCCAGGTCTCTCTTGGGTAATATTATGATCTTATAGGTGTGGCCTCCAGTTTTAATTACTTTTCCTTAGTTTGTTTGTTTTTTTTCCCATCAGTTTGGTGAGCAGTTCTAAATACTACAGTACCCATGAGCTCCAGCTGTCATTGCTATTTAAAAGAAGCCAAGTTGAGATGTGAATCAGAGCTGTAGTCAATTCAAAATGTTTAATTTGGTGAAAAACACAAAACAAAGTAATTCTTGTACATGCACGGCTTATGCTCAAGTTAAATCTATGTTACACTCTTTGCTCCCGATGGACAACAGTCAAAATTTTGGGCAACCTATGCAGATGGTTTTCTTCTGATGATCTGAAATGCATTTTTTTTTTTTAAATAAACTGCAAATCATCAGTGAAGACGTAAAGATGATGTTTCTGTGTTTTCTGTCACCATCTTCTGCGTATGCATTATTAATTAAATGTAGTTAACTCTGACATGACATTATCTTTCTACCAGAACTTGTTTGTGCATATATACTCTATTTATATTTTACAAACTGAAATAACTAAAAGCCTTTTCTCTCATACACTGACCAAATATTCACAATTTAAGTAGTTACTTTCATTCCTAAAATATATTAACACTCAATAAAGGCCCAGGGATTTTTCTCTGCATGTAAGAATACTGAGCTAGCTGAAGGGTCTGACCTATTGAAGTTGTGCGTCATGTGTCTTATTAAAGCAATATGCAGTTCTTGCCAGAGGTCTCCTGGATGGTGATCTAACGTTACATCATACCATAACAGATGATCCGGGCACACAGTGGCAATAGTAGAGATGCCATTCACCTTATTCACCTTGTGATATCAAAATGATTCTGAAACTGTTATTTTAATGTGAAAATGTTAGGTATTGTTGCTGTAATGGGTTGCCAAAACACTGGACTCAGGACCACTATCATTTCCCACTTCTAACTGAACATTGTTTTTATTATGGCCACATAAAAAAGTTCTTAATTTAACCTAAACCATTATTTTGCCCAACTCCTAGACAGCATGTTTTTTGATTTTCACATCAAAAAGCAGTTTATTACTTTTCCAACTGTTATTTTTTAACAGCTTAGCTGTGGCACATCTCCTGCCACCAAAGGGAAACTATCTGAGGAAAGAGTCCTACGCATTTTATCAGAGGATAAGGACAAACATCCTATTCTACAGTTTGGAGGACTTGTCATATTTGTAGGTTCTCACTGTTTAAAAATGTCTGATCCATCCAGACATTTGAACAGCACCTAAATACCTCAACAAAAAATGTCAAATCGAGGGTTACTTCTTATCTTTACCAGGGCTTTTGACCTCTTTGTATGATATTACTCTGTGGATATGTTTACATACTTGTCGTAAAGATATGCCAGAAAAAGGCTTTAAATCTGAAATTGGTTTTCATCAGTATATCACCTTCCTCAGTATAGTGCCTGCCTGCTGCCTGCCAATGAAAAACCATGTGAAACAATGTCACAAACCTCCATTATCTTTGCTATCACTGGATTGTCCTACGTCTGTATAAATGCCAGAACAACATCACAGTGGTCTCTAAAATAGATCATTTTTTTAGTCATGCTACCTTTGGGTGATAGCATGACTATGAATATTTCGTCCCTGAAGCTCTCCACACCGTAAGTCCTACATCCCCTTACATTGTCTGTGGAGATGTGTATTAATGTCAAAATATGAGAGCATGCATTGATAGATAAGAAAAAAGCAGAAAGTTGGAGTACAGTCCAGGACAGAAGTGTGAGTGTAATCAATGTGTTGTGTCTGCTAAAGAAATACGCGATTTGTAGCAGGAGCAAGGCTTCCTCTTGCTGTCTTCAAAAAGCTGCTTGCACTCAGTTTTAGTTGTTTGTATCCCTCACATGCAGACTCCAGCTGAGAGCAGAGCAAATTACCCTGGCTCTGACCTGGGACTGCACTTTCACTGTGTCCACCCCCAAAATCACGATACTTTAATTTATAATCCATCAGCTTTTACATTTGTCTAGACATATAATACATGACAGAACCACTGGATTTGAGCAAGTTCATTTTAAAGCAGAAACTGTTAACCACAAAGTGTTAGGAAGCACACATTCCTGTCACGTGCTCAGAATTCCAAACCAGCTTGAGAAAACAGAGCACTGTTTGAGCTTTGTTCACACAAAATCAAGGTGTATTTTTTTCTTTTGCACTTCTGAACCTTTCTCTTTGCATGAAGGATAGATTCAGACTTTAAATTCATCTTAATACATCAAATGACATACACTCAGGCCCGCTACATGCCTTGCTCATGCCCAGGACAAGGTGAGCTCCAGAGGCCCCCACCCTCCATACATACCTTTATAAACTCTTTATTTCATTAGTCCTTAACTGGAGTTTTAGGCATGACGCGATATGCCTACAAGGTATGACATTTCCAGAGCTTGATAAATTCACAACAAATACAGGCACTTAGCACCTGACTGAGGAGGCTATTGTCTACAAAATAGAACATGCTATAAAAAAGAACATCAAAGAAAAAAAGGAGCCACATTTGATGAAAAGCACTGTTGGGGGTGCATGGGGGTGGAAATATGGGATATATTATGGGGGAGTGAGGCAGACAGTACACAGGAAACACTGCACAGAGAGCTGATTGGTTTCTACTAAATATCAGCAAATTCTGAATGCAAATGTCATGCACTCAGTCAAGTAAGTGAAACAGAAAAGCGGTCTGAATACTGCAACTGTGCTTTGATCCAAAACATACCTTAAATCCACCATGAGCTGCCTCAAGAAATGAGAGCTGAAACTTTTAGAACAGCACTCAAAACTGGCTACAAAATGTGTTTCCAAGCTGTGGTATCTGCCAAAGACAAGTCACTAGGTACTCACTAAGTAGGGTGGCCAAGCTCAGGTTGACAGTGACACTAAATTGCCAGTAGGTGTGAGTGTTTGTCTGTCTGTATGTGTCAGCAACATGTCCAGATTGTACTCAGCCCCCCAGTGTCCACTGGGATTGGCTCCAGCCCCCGGCGACTCCCTACAGGATAAGCGGTAATGGATGGATGTTTAAGTTCATGCAATAAAAAGTAACAGTCCATTAACATTTGAAGAAAGGCTCATTTTAATGTTGGTTTTGTATTTTCTTTTTTTTTTTTCTTATTATTTACTCAAAGCAGATCCACTGAGAGGCCACCTCTCTTTTTCAGGAATGTTCTGATCACATTCACACAGTTACACATTAACAAGCTGCCCAGTACAAGCACATTCTGACCTGCTGGAGCAGTTGGAGTTAAGGGTCTTGCTCAAGGGCACCACATTGGTGTTAATGAGGGCATGGCATGCACTGCTTTGGCACCTGTCCCACCCAGATTTACAGTAATCCAGCCTATCTATGAATTGACCTTCCAGTCACACGCTCCTGTCTCTAAACATGAGGCCACCAATATATATCAAAATTCAAAAAGAGTTATTTATAGCACTAATCATTCCTCCTGTCCACACTGACTAAGAAGAGATGCTATAAACATGTGGTTCACGTGTAGTCTTTGCCTGCATTGTAGAATATACAGTAGGAGATGACATGGGACTGATGTGGAAAAAGGGATGAGTCAAAAGTAGAAACATTTTATCTTTAACTTTAAACTGAGGGTGAAATTTGGCAGAGAACACTGTAGAGATTTACTAAGAGAAAGACTCAAAATATCGATGCAGTGGGGTATTAAGTTTAGTCTGTGTCTTTGGAGGAGAATTTTACTGCTGGGTCTGGGATGTTCCTTTTGCATGACCCATGCCTCCAAGATTATAGATGCAGAAAAAAACTACTACTTGGCACATAAATTGCTGGAGAAAGTCAGCAGCTTATTTACACAGCATTTGCTACAGAGCAAGCTACAGTACTTGTGAGCTTGCAAGCAATGTTATTCCCTCATGATATCAGACCATTTGTTCACTTTCAGTGGGTATATGTCACCGGGGGACAAAATCCACGGTAACATTTTACATTTTGAGATGATTTTTCAATTTTGTCCCATATCTCTAACAGATCAGACATGTTAGGAAGGGCTCGCTTCATTTAGTCCATATAGACAGGAAGAATATTACAGCTCTATTACAGCAAAGACGAGTACCTTATTACATAGACTAACACCACAAACTTGTACAACTGTGGGGAAAAGAAAAAAGCTGGACAATATTGTAATAAATGTAATCAACACTTGAATAGGCGGTTGAAATTTTAGGGCCACTATGAGTGGGATGGGAACATGTATACTTTTTTGGCGCCCACTAGTAGTAAAGATTAATTGGCTGTGCCACTTATATAGCCTACAATACAAATTTTCACTTTGAATGTATACTTTTCAGAACTAAAACCTATGCAGCCATCATAATATGAATAAAACATCATCACAATAACTGTACAAGTGCATGGGTACACATGTACTAACCCTGCACTTCATTCTCTTTGTGTCTTGCAGTTATGGCAGCATTGTACATGAGCCAGAGGCACCACAAAGGAAAAGAGACTCTGATGACATCAAAAGAGGACATTCGTGATAATGTTATTCACTATGACGATGAGGGTGGCGGTGAGGCGGATACTCACGCCTTTGACATGGGCACTCTGCGCAAAACACACTCACAATGCACTAACAGTCATAGCAGCATTTCCAAGAAGGAGCAAAACAGCTACGGTGATGGGGTTCTGCTGCATCTCACCAGTCGCTGCGACGATGTAAGGTCACCTGATATTCATCATCAAACAGCCAGTGTTGTCTCCGCTGTGAACAATAGGACCTCGCTCTCCTCCTGTGGCAAAGTGACTGAGGGAGATGCTGTAAGGATCAGGGAGTTCATCGAACACCGGCTGGAGGAGAGCCAGCAGGGTTATAGCTCTCCACCCTATGATTCTCTGGCAACCTATGCCTATGAGGGTGATGGCTCTGTGGCTGGCTCGCTCAGCTCCATAGAGGAGTCATGGGTAATTGATAATTCAGGGGAATTTAGCTCCCTTGGTGACTGGGGACAGCCATTTAAAACACTGGCTAGCATCCTGGACAGACAGCCACCTACTCTGTCTGAGGAGAGCTGAGAGGCAGTTGGACAGCAGAAAGACTTTTCACAGCCATGTGGGAATTAGCTTAATTTTCTAGACCTCTCTTTTTTTTTCTTACTGTGACAGGCACTGGGTAGAATGATATGAGGAACTCATAAGCTGTCCATGTAAAATAGATTTGTGGGCTGGTAAGCTAGAGAGCGAGAGAATCTAGCTACAGAAGTGTGAAACTTGATAGCTCCTCAAAGTGCCTGAGGTACTTTATGTTTACATGTATTTTAATTCATGTTACTTAATAAAAATCAAAACATGGTGATTCAACCAGTGATTCAGTCATTCTCCCACTTTGGTCTAGAGCATGGGCTTTCAACCAGTGGTCCCTGAAGGCACTGCAGGCGGTCCCTTACCACGCATTCAATAATGTAGTTTCACTGTAGGAATTTGGTTTTTGTTCTTTAAACAAATTTCCATGTATTACTCATTGATTGTGCATTGTCAAACCCATGCAAATATAAAAAACTTGGAAATGCCCAGGTAACTTGCAGAATTAACATAGTGTCCATCTGATCTATCCACCCCGCAACAGTCCTTAGGTTACTTCTTAGTCAGTTTCGTTGTGCTATGCATAATGACAATAAAGATTCTTGACTTCTTGACTTGACTTGACTTGAGAATGGTGGTAAATGGGTCACCATTAGGTGAGAACCCCTGGTCTAAAGTACAATATCGCAATTGTAGGACACTTACAGAAATGCATTTAGAATTATAATAAACCTAGTAAATTATTTTATGTGATCTGATATTAGATTTTTTATACACTAGGAAAAACTATTATTCTTCAGGGAGTATTTAGCAACACAAGCACCAGACACAGCTAGATAAAACAAAATAACAGATTCAGAATTGAAATAAAAACAGACTACAGAAAAGGAGGTAACACTTTACAATAAGGGTACATTAATTAACTGTACTTAATGCAGTAATAAGCATTAACTAATAGGTAACTAATGCATTTATTAATCATGTACTAATGTTTTTCATGTTAATTAAAGTATTACCTCATACATTATTTCATAGTTTTTAACAAAACTACTAACATTTGTTGATGCAGTAATAAGCATTAACTAAACGTTAAATAATACAATAAGCAGCATTGCATTCAACAACTTAAATGTCTCTTGGTAAT